TAAAAATTCTGATTTACTGATAACAGTCTGTCTGAGGTTCTGTACAGTTAGTTTGCATTATTAGTAATGCTCTTCGCCACATTGCAGACTTTATTCAATTCAGTTCAATCACCAAACCACATAAACAGTTGCATTAAGGCACATTCGATTGTACGGTTAAGTGCCAGCAGAAACGGGCTTCTACAGAAGAGCAAGCGGAAGGCTCTGCCTTCCATTACTACGTCTACCTGGGAACCACAAGTAAGCCAGCAGTCTTAGAGCAAAGTACACTAAAGAGGCGATACAGTACAATGAGTTCTTGAAGATGAGATGGGTCCTTTTAGGGACATCATAAACTTTTACTTCTTTTGATAAACTTTTGATGTTACTGCAGTCACACAAATCCTAACCGCGGAGGAAAGGAGTTCCACTAGATCACAGCAGGTTAATACGAGAAAATAAGATGTATTGTGTGCACACTGCTAAGAAAAAGAATCAGAGTTGTGGTTTTTTTTTTTTTACATGAAAATCCCAGAATTATTGAAGAGCAATATGCGGGGCTCGCCTATAAGCTTGAGTGCAAAGTTTTACTGAGACACGGTTTTGGCACAGCTTTGCAACATCCACATCATCATCTATCTCCTGTCTTTAAGCAACAAACAAACAAAAAAAGATGTAGCTACCACAACAACAGCAGCAGGCATAAGACATGATTTTTTGGGCTTTAGATATTATGCAATTTGCAATAAACTGTGTGGCACAGATTTTGTAGTGACTCATTTAAATATTCTCCTCTTTATAAATACATGTCATAAGGCCATGTATTTGTACTCCCTCTTGCGTTAGTAAATCTGGCCTAATTTTTCCGTTTTCTTTAAAATTTCCAACCTTTGTAATAAAGGTCCAAATGACCGGCCGAGATTAGATTAAAGGAGTAGAACGTGCACTTTGTAGTTTAAATATGGCGGATATCCGGCATCACACTGTTAATGAGACAAGCGCAGGGTCTTTCGGATTGTCAGAGCATTTTTCCTAACTCCTTATCAGTTCTCTTACCACCTTTCCTGGACTTGGATTTGTTTCCCTCGAGGTCAAGGAAAAGCGATGGGAACGAATCTTTCTTTTTCTGCGGATGCCTTTCTAACAGCGTCACCCTGTGACGTCAGATATGGCGAACCCCCTTCACCAAGCTAATGTCAACAAAACAAAGCGAAGCGGAATAACGCACTTAATAAAAGCACGGTGTGTGACAGCAAGAGCAGCCGGATACAACGCGGAGCCACTTTTACAGGCGACATGACAAATTCAAACCTGTAGTCTGAGTATGTGTATAGTTCATCGGACGGGGTACAGTGATTTTTATGAACGGACCCAGACCCCCCGACCCACTGCTCGGCACCCACGTCGACTAACGCTAATACCCTTCACGGCTTGTTCACGGTCCAGACACATGAATGCTTTTATTTTGATGTTTCCCGGAAGTACGCCACATCCTCTGTTCTTTTCTTGACTCTACTGTATTCTCATTATCAGCACAATAGGCAGGAAGGTTTACAGCTGGAAGAAAGAAAATTTCGTTTTACGTCCTCGGAACTAAACGGGCTTTCAGCCCAACAGGGACGTATTCCGGCCCGTGTCCCTCCGCGGGGCTGATCCGGGTCCACGGCCCGATCAGTGGATCTGCTGCAGCTGAAGCCTCCGAGATGCTCCGAGCTCTCTGCAGCTGCACAATAACAGCGTCACCGATACCGGCCTGGGGACACAGCTATGATTTTCAGACGGAGAGCCAGGTAACTTGAAATAGCTATCAATAGATGTGAGAATGGAACAAGTGGGCACAGAACAAGATGCTGATAGCAAAACCATAACGGGTTTATTAGGATGGAGAGACTGTGATGTGCAATGGGCGGCGCTAGGCTGCGATTTCGCAGAGACATAGGCGAAGGTGTGGGTGTAGGGATTCTTCACACGCCAAGTCTTAACATGGTCCCAAGTTCGGGAACCATATACATATATACAGCCTCTCCCTCCAACTCTGCGTGGGCATTTCAGACTTGTAATATGTGGTGAACAGGGTGGTGGCTGCTGCCCTAATATTAATCTCACATTGGTCTGCAGAAGTGATAATCAGACGGAGAGGCAGTGTGATCAGATCTGATCAAAGTGAACAGTGAAATGCACAAATCTATTTAGAGGAAGTGTGATTCATTCTATTTCAGCTGTCATATGACACACCACACTATAACGTGCCCGACTGCAATGTTATGAATCCGTCTGGGTTTGAATGTCAAATTATCATAGAGAACAAGTCCATCACATATTAGGAGAGTGTCAGAAGATTATTCTAGTCATCAACGTCTCCAAGTCCACTCAAGAAGTTTTCTGCCAAACTTTTCCAGTGTCCCATTAGCCAGTAACGTAACTGGGTCACTTGAAATAGTAATATACATCAGTATGCATAAGACTAAAATTAATTATTGGACATTTTTAACTGTAGAGTTTTTTTTAAATTAATTATTTAGGGTTAAATAAAAAAAATAAAGTTAATAAAGATGTCTTTACAAAATCTTAATAGAATCATAAATTCTATGCACGTATTAACAGTACAAAGCTAATGTGGCAAAGTCGACAAAGTTGCCTTTATCCTCTGAAAACAATATTGCTGTAATAGTGCGAATGGTCTCTTTCTTTTTCTGTTCGCCCAGCTAGATGGAACAAGGCATCACTGTTAAGTTGGATAGATATGAATATGAGCCTGGTTCTGCCGGAGGTTTGTTCCTGTTAAAGGGAGTTTTTCCTTCCCACTGTCGCCAAAGTGCTTGCTCATAGGTGTCATATGATTGTTTTAGTGTCTACCTTACAATATAAAGCGCCTTGAGGGGACAGTTGTTGTGATTTGGTGCTGTAAAAATAAAATTGAATTGATGCGAATCGTATGTTATGGTCTTTACACAGAGCCCCTCTCAGCTTTAAAGACCCATGGGAAGCTTTGATACGTGTATCAGCTCTTTATCAGTATAATAAAAAACAAAAGTGAGGAAATACGCTTCCTTTCAACAGAGTTGCAAGGTTGTTTTGGCAATATGTAGCAGCTTATTACAAATAAGCATTTTACTACTTAGCCACTTCCTGTGAGTGTTCCTTTGTTATCAAACACAAAAAGACCATGCCAGTTGTGTTCACGCTGTGATGACACCTGTGTGTGATTCCAAACCAATGAACACAAATCTATCACAAATCCTGTTACATTGATCTGTTCCAGTGTGATTGTGTGACAGCAATCGATGTCACTGAAAAACAGACTGTCTGAAAGTACTATTTCATTTTACAGCTCACTACAGGGTCTTTTACATAGAACTTGTTACATATGCACTAATATGTAAAAAAAAAAAGACTTTTCTATTGATGTATATTTTTATCCCTTTTCTAGTGGTGTTGGGTTTTTATTTAAATGCTTGATAATGGAAAGTATTGTCACACTTACTGTTTATGATGGGCAAACCCTTTTAATAATTAGTAGTGCCAACTATGGAAACACCATAGACATCAATAGACATTAGGGCTGCCACGATTAGTCGACTAGTCACGATTGCGTCGACTATCGAAATCGTCGACGACTGATTTAATATTCAACGCGTCGTTTGAAGCTTTGTAAGATCCCAAAACACAGGAATAAGTAGTAGGATTTAAGAGTGTAATAACGGACTGAAACAGAAGATGGCAGCACTGCATGTAGAAGGATGCCAGCTGCCGTTAAACCCAGAAGAAGAAGAACCTGTGTCCGGTATCGTAGCTGTGTACAAATTCAGGGGCCGCATCCTTCGCAGGCCACATTTGTTGGCCGATTACGTTACAGCGACGTGACAAATGTCTAAATTCGAAGACTCCGACAAATGCGGCCTCCTTCTCCCCAGATTTGAAGGATGGGTGTATCCTTCGTGGACCAACCTTTCCCAGAATTCATAGCACAACTCAGCCAATTCCAGTTTCCAACAATGGCGGCAGCTACTTAGTTTTAATATTACTCTTATTATTCTTTCTGGGTCACAAAATAAACTTTTAACACATTTTCAGGCGAGAATGTAGCTGTGTAAACCTCAAATATCTGCTCGGTTTATCAAGACACCACATATTTGCAGAAGTGCTCCGACGTTTTCGGAGACGTTTGGCTGAAGTTAAAGTTACAGTTACAGACATCAATACATACATGTTTACTATGAACAGATACACATTTGAACACTTTTTAAAAAAATCTTTATTACATATACACCCCATTATTTTAGGTTTCACAATTACCTCATAATTTGATCTAACATGTTTTACTACACAAATATGTATCGCAGAATAGAGTGTTGTAAGAAAATGCGACACCCATACATATAAACCCACAGGAAAAATACGAGACACTGGTATCAGAGGCAGACTGGTACACTGATACTAACTAAAACACAGCATAAACAGGGATGAACCCTCCCCCGTCCCCCCTTAGGAATTTTTGGGGAATGAATTTATTGGAGATGGTGCATCACGGTACAAAAATTTCAAGGTGTCAAGAGTTTCACTCTCCAGCGGGCTGACTCGAGAAGAGAGGCGGTTGCCATGGTAAAGTAGAGAGGAGTCGTCTTTCTTCTCATTACAGAGACAAGCCCCCTGCACAAAGTGTAAGGGGAAACATGAGCCAGACACCAGACCAAAGACCAGTAGGGAGGCCAGGTTTAAACTGTGACCCCTCCCCAACTTTTTCAAACCAATCACATTCATGCCTTGTTTGTGCCACATTATAAAAAACTCTTATCAAAAGCGAGTGGCAGCCTTTCCTTGTCCGCTAGCCAAGGAAAAGTCCATGGTGCTATGTAAAATCCGTCCACCCATCCATCCATCCACCCATCCATCCATCCATCCATCCGTATTACTCTTTCCACACACTTTTCCCCTTCTTTTTCTGTATCTTCCTCTTCCACTGACTGCTTTGGGCTCACAACTATGTGCATCATTCATCCATCCTTCTCTCCTCCTCACAGGATGTTGCGATCGCTGGTTTGTGGTCGGCTGGGTCCAGTTTGGATGTGGAAAGCGCTGCTATTCATTGTGGCCATTGCTTTTGCCACCCAGCTGCTGGGAATCATCTTCAACAAGAGGTATGGTTTTGCTTTTTCAATTTGAACTGCATTGGATTTTTACATTTTTGCGTCAGAGTTAGTTTCATTTCTCTCTATTATGAGGAAATTATGTTGGCAGTTCATGGACAACTGTGGGCTGCCCGTGTTCCTATAGAGTGGGTTTTTGTCACATGGTAACAGTGTCACAAATATGTGGTAGAGCTGGTACAACCATTGGATGTTCTTTTTTTGTCCGTCTGTGAAGAAAAGTGAAGTTGTACAGACCTAAAGTGAAACAGAGTTTCCGCTGAAACAGCTCTCTCTACGTTTCATACTAACTTAGCATAAACTAGTGTGTAATGTTTTTGTCCTTGTCTCATTCCTGGTCAACTATTATCGCGCTAGTCCCTGTTGACTTGTCAACCAGTTGGCATTAACTGACAAACAGCATCATCCATGTCGAGCAACATGCAGTTGATATTGTGGAGGACTACAGCATGGGAGTATGTTTGCAGTGGTTGAAAACCCCCTCTCTGTAAGCTCTACATAGGCAAATACATGCTCAACAGTATTGCATATAGCAATATATATACTATAATACAGTAATAGTAAAATAACAGCCACACCACTAGATGCTGCTCTGGGTTCATTACATGCAAAGCGAGATATTTCAAGCCTTTATTTATTATAATTTTGATGATTATGGCTTACAGCTTATGAAAACTTCAAATTCAAAAGCTCAGCAAATTAGAATATTGTGAAAAGGTTCAATATCGTAGGTTCAAAGTGTCACGCTCTCATCAGCTAATTAATCCAAAACACCTGCAAAGAGCCTTTAAATGGTCTCTCAGTCTGGTTCATGGGGAACAACTGACAGTTGTCCAGAAAACCATCACTACAGCCTCCATAAGGAGGGAACGCCTCAAAAGGTAATTGCAAAAGAGGTTGGATGCTCTCAAAGTGCTGCATCAAAGCACATTAATAGAAAGTTCTGTGGAAGAAAAAGGCGCACAAGCAGCAGGGATGACCTCAGCCTAGACAGGATTGTTAGGAAAAGGCCGTTCAAAAGTGTGAGGGACCTTCACAAGGAGTGACTGAGGCTGGAGTTAGTGCAACACACAGACAGATCCTGGACATGAGCTTCAAATGCTCTATTCCTCATGTCAAGCCGATCCTGAACAACAAACGGAATCACCTGGCTAAAGAATAAAAGAGCTGCTCTGTTAATCTGTGGCACAAAGTCCAGTTTCTGGTGGGAGCAAATTTTGCATCTCATTTGGAAACCGAAGTCCTAGAGTCTGGAGGAAGAATGGAGAGCAGTGTCGGTCAAGTCAGTTGAAAAAGTAATTAGTTACTAATTACTGATTACTTTTCCAAGAAAGCAATCATGTTACTTTACTGATGACTTATTTTCAAAAGTAATTAGTTACAAAGTTACATTTTAAAACCACGATAAACAACCTGAATATGTAACAGAGCAACAGACCTTTCAGCTCAATTCTACTTCTTCTGCATAATCCATCACATAAAATGTAATCAAATGAAAAACTTGTTTTGTTAGTTTTAATCTTTTAACTTTATGCATCAAGCAAAAATTAAATAATATGCGACATTCTCTGACTGGAAGAATGTTTAACATTTAAATCTATTTTCTGCACATTCCAGCACATAAAATAAAATAATGTTTTGTGTTTTCACTCTTTCAAATAGATGCAAGTAAAACACAGCAGAAAATAAATAAAACCAAAGACTCAGCAGCTCTTAAATCTATTGTCACCTGTTTAGCAGGAGTGGGGCGGGTGGAGGTTTGCCCACAGCGGTCCTGTCAGTGGGAGGATCCGGGGGTTTCTCTGTGAATGTCACATTCCCGTGGCAGCGTGCTCGCTGCTCGCTCAGAGTGGAAGTTTAATGTTTCGGTGTAGAAAGAAGTTTTCTTCCCACGCAGAGTGAACAGCAAACGCTGATGTTTTTGTCACTTTTTACAGAATCAAACTCAAAGTAATGTGATTACTTCCACGCTTTAAACGCTGCATGGACATACTCTCTCCATTGTTGATCTGCAAACATCTGTTGCTCCCACATTCACGTGACCTGAACGGGCTTTGCCAAGAGAAAGATGAGACACATGAGACCGAACAATGCAGAAGAGCCGAAGGCTGCTATTGAAGCATCCTGGTCTTCCATAACACGTCACTGCTGACGTGCCACGCCACACTGAGGCAGTAATTCATGCAAAAGGGGCCCGAGACAAGTACTGAGTACATATGTATGATTATACTATCCAGGGTTTTCATAAGTGTAAGCCATGATCATCATAATTATAAAGTAAAGTCTTGAAATATCTCGCTCTGCATGTAATGAGTCTACATTAGTTTCACCTTTTAAGTAGAATTACTGAAATACGTTTTTTGCTCCATATTCTAATATTTCGAGTTTCACATGTACATGGTATAACAAGCCTGTAAATGAATGTGCCTCCACACTGCGCCCCCTGGTGGATACACAAGATATTACCACCGGTTTTCCTAAATGCTGCTTTTGGGACGTTACCACCCATGGTTGCATCGTCCAGGTGAGGGTATCATTGCAGCCACCCATCAGCTGGCAATTGGTCAGAAATCCGTCGCGCGCACACCCATGGTCCTGTCAGGGATGAGACAGCCATCTTTAAAGTGGCTGTATCTGTAAGCCTAGTCTTAAAAGTAGAGATAATGTCTGTCTCCTGAACCCTGGTTGCACAGAACAGGGACCTGAATGTTGTGAAATACTGTTGTCCTTGCTGTCCCACTATTACCCAACTATTAAGCCACAGCTGCAGGACAAATGCTACCCAATCACATGCTTCTCATTCAGTTTGCTATTAATGATGAAGAAATGCTTTCTTGGAGTATTTGTGCCTGTATGAAATGAAATCCCCGTGCTACCACAGTATAGCTTTGAACATTTTGGCTGTGATGTGTCTGTGTTTATGTAACATCTGCTTAGAAGGAAACCATCCAGACAGGAATAAAACTGAGTTATGAAATCAGTTCAAAGCAACTAATAAATTCAAAGCTCATACGTTTATACTTCTTTAAGACATTTTAACTTTGCATGAAGTAAGGAGTTAGGTTCAAAGTGTACTCAGCAACTGGACTGTCTCTGTTTGTTGTCCTTTCTTTTACATTTCCTGTGAACAGCCACATCAGTTCTATCGGTTGAGACAGTGTGATGTTGCTAAGCTGTTTGGTTTAAACATTATTTCTGATGTGGGGTGAAAACCTACTGATTTTGTAGTACAAGTAAGACTAAGAATTGATTTGCATTGATTGTAGAAATGTCAATACTATCATATGGTGAGTAGATTTGAGTTGTGGTGAAATCCCAGAGATGTTCTGAATAATAATTATTTACAGTTTGCTCCTCTCTTCCCACTCGTCCAACAGCAGTGCCCAACCAGCTGCTCACTCCATCTTTTCGTCCCCTGATGCCCAGGGGCCGTCTCTGGGCTCCTGTCAGCCCCACACTCACATCATGTTCCTCAAGACACACAAGACAGCAAGCAGCACAGTGCTCAACATGCTGTACCGCTTTGGAGAGGAACGCAACCTTCGCTTTGCCCTTCCACTGGGCTACCAGCTGGGGTACCCACTACCTTTCAATGCTCACAGAGTCAAAGGTTATCGAGGTCCCCGAGCCACGGAGTTTCACATCATGGGCAATCACATGAGGTTTAATAGGCCAGAGGTAAGGCTGACAGTAATGACTGAAAATGGTTTGATAATCACACAGCGATCTGTATAATCCTCCACTGTTCAAATTTCCAACATGGCTGGACATTTTAAAGAGACTCATTTTATAGTTTATATATAGAAAATGAAAGTGTACAAACTCATATACAGATGTGACATCAGTAGCCTCAGCCATATAATAAAAATTGGCAGAAGATAATCAGTAACAACTAATGAACAAAATACACAAAAATAATACACAGAGGTCGTTTTGTGGGCTAAAGTGATGTTCATTTAGAAATTACAGACACTTATCTCCACGCTGAGTCTGACTTAACCTAACCGCCTGTATGACTGTAGGAGGACTGCCAGCCCATCCAAACCTTCAGACTCTTAGCAAACAGAACCCTTCAACCAGCACTAGAAGGTCCCAGTGCGATTGGTTAGCCTAACTCTGCCGGGCCGTGCATTAGCACTATTTGTCATTCCGGCTAATCACCAGACTGCTAGTGTAAATACCTGTAAATACCCGTGTCAGCAAGCCAAACCCTCTGTCCAGATTGAGCATGCTCAGCGGTAGAATGACATCCGAGGAGCTTCTGTTGGTTTCATAATTAAAACAATGGATAGTTGAAGCGTTACTGATGTCAGAGACAATACGTGATACTACTGCAGTAGTATCGTTATTTGTAACTGTTTCAATTTTTGTCTTTCAGGTGGAGAAAGTGATGCCTGCAGACACATTCTACTTTTCTATCATCAGGGATCCTGTCGCGCTGGCTGAGTCCTCTTTTGCTTATTACAAAGAAGTAGCTCCTGCCTTTCGGAAGGCAAAAGGCCTGGGCGACTTTGTCGACGACCCAAATAAATACTATGACCCTCGTCTTCGCAACAACCACTATGCCCGCAACCTGCTGTGGTTTGATTTTGGCATGGACAATAATGCTAATTTCTCAGTGGAATTAGCTCAGCATGGTGAGGCCATGATCCGCCAGACATTCAGACTGATTCTTGTGTCCGAGTACTTTGACCAGTCTATGATCCTGCTGAGACATGCCCTCTGCTGGCCACTGGATGCTGTAGTCTCATTTAGCCTTAATGCTCGGCAGCAAAAGCCCAGCAGCAACAGCGTAATGAGCGGAAGCTGGGTCGGCAAAGCTGCTGTAGCGGCTGGCGTCGGTGCTAGAGCTGGACGCTCACAAGGCAAGATGTTGCCCAATCTATCACTAACGGATCATCAGCGGGAGAAGCTACGCCAGTGGAACGCCTTAGATTGGTACCTATACAAAGCCTTCAACCGCACGTTCTGGGAGGATATCGACAAGTTTGGTCGTGCCCAGATGGAGCAAGAAGTAGCTCTTCTCAGGGTGCGGCGGGAAATCCTGGGCCAGGTTTGTCTGAAGGATGGTGGAAAGCCCGTAGAAGCGTACCGGATACGAGACAAAAATATCCGACCCTTTCAGAGCGGAGTAGTAAAGATTCTTGGATACGAGCTTCAGCCGGGTCTCGACAATGCTACCAGGACGGCCTGTCTGAGGATGATTAGGCCCGAGATCCAATACAAAGATTTGCTGGATAGTAAACAGTTCCCACGGGCTGTCCAACCCCAGCTGGGACAGCAGGGACAGGGACTGCTAGCAGCTGGTGGTGCTTTTGTAAGACATGATTCATCTAGGACAGGAGAGAAAATGATGATGGGAGAAGCTGAGATGGAAAGAGAAAGAGACTGGGATGGAAGCCGTATAATGAAGAGTAACCAGACTTTAAAAGGAGTGCGAGAAAAAGAAAGATTGAGATAGTTTAAGGTGAGTTACATGTTACCTTTGATTTGTGAGGGGAAACAGACCAGAGACGCCTGAGCCAAATTTAGTTTACATGTGAGAAGGAAACAAGCTTCTCTGCAGCACTTCCAGTTTTCTTTCTTTTCCTGAACACACTCTCTGGTTTGGTATGTTTTCGTCTTTGGCAATTACTCTGAGTAAGTCTATTTTATTAGTGGAACTGCATTTTCTTATTGTGTTAATGCTTAAATTAAATAAAAGGTACAAGCTGTCCCAAGGTTACAGAGGAGGGGTACACCGCTCAGGTCTTGTGGCTGATCCGACAGAGGCGGGAGTTTGTGAAAATAAAAACATCAAGACAGTCTCGCTGGACAGAGCACTGCAGAAAAGCAAGACATTGTTTTCAGGCAAGATTTTAGGTTTGTTGTTGCATTAACAGCTGTTATTGACTTCATCAGACAAACGATCGCTTCCTTGCTCAACTCATTTTTTGTATTTTAACATACAGACTGGTTTTTTTACATAAGCTTGCCTTTAAACACGGCTCAGACACAGTAAATCTCATCTATAGGAGAAGTCCGCAGATAGCAGAGGTGGTGGCAAAGGTACATCTTCCAGGTGAATTTTAAAAAATTCACTTTTAGGCAGGATTTTAAATGTTTTGATTTACATCCGGTTTGTGTAATGATTTTGTTTTTCCCCAGTGAAATTAAGGTAGTGCTTCAAAATAAGTGCCTGTGGGCGTGTCTCCTGAAACACCACAGGCTTGTTTGTGCTGTTGAGTGGTGAGTCTGGACTCTAAAAGCTATTTCTGGATTATGAGTTTCAGTTTTCTGCCACAGTTTGTTTACATTTAGGAAAATACATCTTTTAGCTTTAGACTAAGATTGCTATATTGTTTCAGATCCACACTTTCAGCAACATTAACCACGTCTTAGGAACCTGTCGGGCAGAAGGCTTATAGCTTCCAGTGACTCGCAGCAGTCCCAGTTTCATTTTGTCATTGACCTCCATACTGAGGTCCAAAGTTACATCGGGCAAGTGCAGGGCCAGCATGCTTACCTTTCCCTCCTTTCTGAGGACGTACCTGTGGAAGGAAAGTAGAGTCACAGACCATATTAGGAGTTTGTTAGCAGGTAAAGTGCTAAAGCTAGACGACTGTTTCAGTTGTGTCACTAACTGCTGTCCGTACAATCTAACACAGACTGAAAACAACGTTTCTTTGATTGCATAAGAAGTGTCACAGAGTGGGGTCACTGACAGTGTTGACCCTGCCTCAGTGAGGGTCATCCCAGCATGCGAGGTAGCACAGGTGACAGCGTCAGACGTGACTGCATGCATATACATGAAATATGCATGCGCCACTTTGTTTTTAAATGAACCTCCTTACAACAGGTTGTTTCCTAGATCGTACATGTTCGTTCATTGTTGAAAGTATTGAATTTATTGCCAAGTGTCAAACATTCGATCGTCTTGTTCTCCGTCCAGAGTCGCCCACCCTACACAGTGTACATCTGGTCACCTCAGCAGTGGCCTTCAAGGGAGATTCAGGCATACTGTGTTTGAGTGGCTACCTCCTCTGATGAATGGATATTATTCATCTTTTACAGTCAGTCTGTTTAAAGAGAGTCAAAGGGACGACTAATTCTGAACAACGTCTTAAAATCAAAGGGACATAAGGTGTTTATTTCCCTTCACTCAGGAAACCAGTGATTTCTTTTAGTTTACTCTAAAACTCTGACTTTCTCTTCATTCATAAATAAGCCATCATTAACAGTGAAACTCTTGACTGCTTCAGGAGTGTCATAGTCCTGTCTGGGGTCTCAACAACATTATTTCAGTCGCGCTAATTAAAATGTGCTCGATGTTACATCCAGAGAGGTCTCTGGAGTTCAAGCCTGCGCAGACGTTTGGAA